CGAGCCTGGAGAAGTTGGCGAGGTGAGTCGTGGCAGCCCCAGAATCCCTTCTGGGGACCCGTGTCTCGCTCCCTCCGCCCGGGCCAAGTCCAGGGGAGGCTTTGGGCTGGAGGGACAGACTCCAAGTTCACCCGCTGGCTGCCCAGTTGTATTTTTTTGCCCCGCTAGAGCTGAAGAACCACCTTCGTGGAGTCCCGTTGACAGCGCAGTACTGATAATCATGTACATTTTTGAAAAGAGAAGTGCCAGGGAGGGTGGTTTATATATTACATTTTTTTTCAGTCAGGGTAAGACGTTTGTTTGCGTTCTTGCAAACATGCGCCCTTTGTTTACTTTTTCAAAAGCCATCACGATGCAAGAATGTTTTATCAAATTCTCATGTTTCACAGGAGAATTTTTACCAAAAACTTAGATGTGATTGAGTTGGAAAAGTTAGATGTTTACCAAAGACTAGCTGTCTCTCCTTGAACGTTAAATCGCCCTGTGCTTAGAACAGAAGGGGCACTCGACCTAGGTTTATTAAAAAAAAAAAAAAAAAAAAGTTTTCTTCCTGGAAGGAGAGATGCGTGGCACGGAAAAGACAGAGTGACGATTTCCCTGTCCCTCATTCTGTTTCAGACTCAAGTACGGTCAAAGCGTCTTACAAGGAAAACATCTTAACCTTTGACATGGTGTTTGATACTCTTTCTCTGCTCGGAGCTTAAGCCGCCGCAGCTTTTCATCAGAGCGTTTTATCTTTGTCGTTAGGGTTGCTGGACCGCCCTCAGGTTAGGGATTTGCGTTCATTTCCTTTGTCGCGGAGAGCTTTTTAACAGTCCCCTGGCCTTGCCGCGGGTCGGTTTCCTCTGCCCTCGGGAGCTGGTGATGTTTGTAACTGCTCTTGCTGCGTCTGCGTGTGCTGGGCTCCTTCATTCCTTGAAAAGAGTTGAAGAATTCTTTTTGGCCCTAATGACTAAATCTGTTTTGGCGCTTTTACTGTAACTAAGAGAAAAGACACGAAACCAAGAAGTAGCTGTGTCAGCTTTAGGTTCTCTTCTGCCTCATAATAAATGTACAGATGGGTACTCACAAGTTTGAGAGGGGAAAAAAAAACCCAATGATCTATAGAGTCACTTTTAAGTACTTAGAACAATTTACAAGCTCTTGTGAATGTATACATACTTTAAAATCAGGATATTTCTGTTAGGAGCTGGGGTTTCTTATAATGTGTTATCCTAAGGTGCAACTGCAAGTTTACTAGGATTTGTAAGTGGAAGGGACAGCTCGTAAGACAGTGACAACTGACACCATTTAATGTAGCTAACCTTTCGCCAGGCATCCGGCTAACAGCAGTCCACAAAAGTAGTCCTTGTTAACACTTCCTGTACATATATTCACCATGTCATCTGGACCATAGCCCTATGATAGTGGTTCCCAAATGAGCAGCAACAGTGTCACCTGAGGCTTCGTTTGAAATGCAGATTCTCAGGCCCCGCCCCACGAAATCAGAATCTGTGGGGGTGAGGTCAGTGATCTGTGTTCTAGCAAGCCCTCCCATTGTTTCTAACACACAACCAGCGTTTGAGCGCCTGCTCTGTGAAGTATGCACTAATTATTATTCCCATTTCCCAGTTAAGGAAAATAATGCACAAGGTTTAGCCATTTGTCCAGGGTTCATAGATCACTTGTGGTAGATAAGGGTAAACATTCAGGGGGTCTGGGCCCGGTCGACTCTTACCTGCTATGCTGATGTCATAACACTAACTAGTCTTGCCTGCATTTCATGGTTTTTCTGAGATTTTTCTAAAGAAACAAATTTTTACAACGGTCTCATTCTTCAAGGTGTTGGGAACATGGGGCAGCATCTTCTTGTCTCTATCTGAACAAATTGGCTCTGACTAGGAAGAGATCATGAGCAGAATCCAAATGGATGTTTTAGTGAAGGACTATTTCCATGAGCAACAGTACCTCCTGAAGCCATTTTTCTTTTGAACATATCTCTTATATTATGGAAGTCATGGCCAACACCATAGGAATATAAAGCAAAATTGTAAAAACTCAGAAAAGGGTGAACAACAAAAAAGCCACAGGAAGTCTCAAGCTCACATGCATAAAGATGAAAGTCTAGTGTCCTCTGGAGAAGTTGACATTTTCTGGTACTTAATAATTTTTTTTTTTTTTACTACCTGGACAGAAATGGCGGCAGAAGATTCTGAGACAATGAGGGAGCAGGAGGGAAGATCTCTGCGTGGACTCCTTTATTGCTCTTCTAATCCTGCTTGGGTTAAATTTTTGTGGTTTAGGAGGAATTTTATTTTAGGGAGGGAAAAGAAAGCCTCGTGTTTTCAGAAATCGGGTGCTTTAATCTCGTTACGTGGCTAGAATCCAGAAGAGATGAAGGGTACGTGATCTCATTTTTCGGGCCCGGGGAGGAGTCTGCAGCAAGCGTGGAGTTGGATGGGATACAGTCCACCACCTGCTGACCATCCGTGGCCCGGACTGCCTTGCCTCCCCCCGGGTACTGCTGTAAGTGAAGTCTTGCCACGTCAGTGCAGGAAACATAGCCCTCTCCTTCCACATCTTGTTTTCATTTCAGAGAAGTTTCCAGGGACTTGCCTAGTTAGCAGACAGACCCTACAATTTTATAACTAGTCATTTGTATGCAATCTGTCCTGTGGTGGCCTCTCCTCTCTATAAATATAAAACCCAGAGGTAAGGTCTGAGCTTTTAGGTCAGGGGTGGGATCTGGAAACGGACACCACAATCTAAGTGTCCGTTCCAAGTGCACAAGAGAAATGAAATCTTTCTTTTATTTTTGGTTTATTGGTGATTTACACCTGGCTGACTTCCAGAGAGAATTTGAGATGACTTTCAGTAAAAAACATATATAATAAGGCCATTGAAATCATCCTAAAAAAGGAAAAGTCATAAAGGGGAGGAGGAAATAAGCACTGTTTGTCAAAAACTGAGCCACTATTGTTATGAGGATTAAGTATTAAATTTAGCTCTAAGCTTCCTGGCAGCCATGTCAAAAAGGGAATCGTGATAGGCTGCCTTATTTTCACTGAATGATAAGAGGAAAAGTTGATCAAGAGGGAATGATTTGGTTTTCATGGAAATGAATTCTAAAAAGAATTTTACTGGAGAGTAAACTTTAAGCGCCTGTCTCTCCAACTTGCTTCTGAAAACTCTTCTTTGAGCCTATGTGTGGAAAGGCAGTTGAATATAACTGCTAATCAGTGCAATGTAGAAAAGAATTTGGCATCTGGAGGCCAGAAAATTGGGTTCTAATCCCAAGTCATTTCACCTTAATTTCTTCATCTATAAACTGAACAAATCAATCCAAAAATTTTCCAAGATCTCTTCCAGCTTTGACATTTGATGATCCTGTGATGAGATCATCCAGTTTAGCTGTAAAATCCCAACAACGACTATTGCTTAGCCCTTTGTGCTGTCTCTTGCAAAATCGGTTTCTCATTTATTGGCTGTAGCCTAGAACTTTTACTGATTACTCAATCCCAACCCTCTCCTGAATTTTATTCTTTTTCTTTTTGCATTGGCCTGGGTATTGCTGTTTTTTCTTAAAATATGGTTTCTAAGGGAGACTTAGGCTACCTCTGAGCTCTGTGGAGGTCCTCTGCCATTTTATTCCACAGTCATTCAGCAAATGTTTATTGCACATATATTCTGGACCAGGCACTCATTGTACAGTGGTGAAAGGAGTTGTTGCCCTCCCAGAATTTGGGAGAGGTGGGGGTGGGGAGACAATAGAGAAACACGTTTACACTTGGCAGCCTACCCAGCTGTTCCAATGAGAGGAAGCGTGTTTACTCACTCATCAAGAGACACCATTTCCTGCAGTTCCCTTTGGTATCTGAGATAAGTCTTCTCAGAGGGTTCAAGCCTGAATAAAGGTCTCACTTAAGAGGGATGGTATTATATAGCAAAATGCCAACTCTGCAGTGATCCTATAATTAACTGGTAGACCTAGAGCACATTAAAGGTCTCCAGAACTTAGGTACCATCTCTGATATTATGTACTCTGAGTCTTGATTCTATTCACATTCATTTTTGTTGATGGGTCCATGGTTCTGTCTTTTATCGATCAGCAAGTCATATTGGCTCTATGTCAAAATATATCCCTGGGCGCCTGGGTGGCGCAGTCAGTTAAGCACCTGACTCTTGGTTTCAGCTCAGTTCATGATCTCAGTCTCTTTAGATCAAGCCCCACGTCGGGCTCCCTGCTCAGCAAGGAATCTGCTTGAGATTCTTTCTCACTCTCTTCCTCCTGCTCGTGCTCTCTCTAAAATAAATAAGTAAATCTTTAAAAATAAAAGTATATATATCTCCCCACTTCCAAGCTTACCACTGTCTCCTAAACACCACCTTTTGCACATGAACCCCCACAGTAGCACAAGATCTGGTTTGCATGCCTCCACCCTAGCGCCCTCTACAATCCATTTCCCATACAGCTGCTGGAATGATGTGAACTCTGTAGACCACACTGGGTCTTTGTTGGTGAAAGCCTCCAGTGAGGGACTTCCCATCACGAGAAGAAAATTCAGTTTCTTAGTCTGGCCTTCAAGCTTTGATCGCAACTCCGTTTAGCTCTCTGA